ATACACACTAAATATCTTTTTCTAATTTTAATGGTATACCTGTCCACCGATTGGTATAAGCCTACCTAATATATAACTTTCCCCATTGCGAGAGAAACCACATTATATGATCTTAGCTAAATAAAACTCAACAGTGATATTATTATTGGTTTTAATGTTTATATTTTAGTCGGGAATTACTTGTATATATACGATATAAATATATTATTATTTGACACACGATTCATGTGTGTCCTAAAAGTTTTGCTCAAATGTTTTTGTAGAAAAAATAAAATAAAATAGAAATAATTTTTTTTTAAATTTTATAGACAAACATTTATTATCCTATTTTTTTAATGGATAACTTTATAAGGATATAACACCACACTCAGCGACCTGTGCCTAAAATATCTACCTGTGCTGATAGTTTTTTATTTATTTTTTTATAAATATTTATTATGAACTTTAACAGCAACAAAATAAAATAATAATACCAATAATAATAATAATAATAATATATATGAGTAAATAATAAAGTGAAAATGATATGATTGCCAATAATGAGTTATACCTGTCGTGCCATTTAATTCATGGAAAGTCGTGAGAAATGGCTATTTTTGGTCGATAGTCTGGTGCTGTTTAGGGAGAGGGGGGTAATAAATAGTCAATCATATAATCATATAATACTATTAGTGGGCTAAGCACAGACATGGGCTATAGTATAAGTGCTCAACAAAATTATAGCGCAATTTAAATATAACAACCAATTTATTGGTCCCACAAATTATAGACTGTTTTTCTACATTTCTCTTAACGTTTATCAATAACTTTTAAAAATATATTAGTGATAATATATGTTAAAAGTTTTAATAACAAAATTATTTATAATAAACAACTCAATGAAATTTAAATTTCTAAAATCACTCAAAAATATTTATAGACAGTAATTTATATAATTATAATTTTTATTTCTTTTGAATAGATTATTAAAAGTGATAATCGGTACATAAATAAATAAATATATATACAGTATATATTTGGGAATTCATTAGTCAATTAAAGACAATCAACCGATTTTTCACCACAACTTACATATCGTATTATAAACTAAATAATTATTAAATTATAAACTAAATGCAGAGTCAATAGTCAGAAACAATTTCAATCATCTTATTGTCCGTCACTTTAGAGACCCATTAAGAGATTGTCTGCTATTATCTTATTGTCTTTTTCTTAGTGAGTATTTAATAGCACATGTCGTCTATGGTTTTTGCCTAATAGTCTAGGTATGCAAGCTATGTGTGCTATGCAAATAGTCTAGTGCTGTGCCATAGCCTATGGCCCATAGGGTCCAGTATATAACAGACTCTCTCTCTCTCATCCAGTTTCCAGTATTTATTGGATGTGAATATTGTATGTGTTTGGTGTGTAAGTACTGTCGCCGTAATGTCGTTGAGCCAACTGAGCCCAACAGTGAAGCCACTTTTATGACGGCCCGCTGTGTTTCACCTAACCATACAATTGTAAGTCCCGTATATAGTGCCCGCTGTTTGTGGCTATATATGCCCTACCAGTTCGCTCTATATTTGATTTAAATTTACTGGTATTGCTCTCTCTCTCTCTCTCTCTTTCTGTCTGTCTATATATATGTCCTCCACACGGACTATCAGTTATATAGTATGCGGGAGGACAGGGACAGGACGAGGACATAAGCAACAGTGCATCCAAGTCATAACATAAGCACTGGTAGACCAATGATAAAATGGGGCGCAGCAGGCATTAAGTATACGGTTTACTACATGTTATGAGACCAAACACTAAGAGATTGCACGACATCGCGGCGACACCACTACCAACACATCCGAGAGACTGAATCCTCCAAAAACAATCTCTCTCTCTCTCTCTCTCTCTCTCTCTCTCTCACACACACACACACACTCATTCACTCCATAACTAAACATAAATGTCAATAGCTATTAGAGAGACCAATGTTTTCAAATAATTATTTAATGGGAATATAGAGCTGTCGAAGCTATCGATGCGAATATGAAATATTAGAAATTATTTTCACTTAACATTATTTAGACAATAATAATAATAAACACAATAATAATAATAATAATAATAATAATAATAATAATAATAATAATAATAATAATAATAATAATAATAATAATAATAATAATAATAATAATAATACAACTTAACTAATATTCATGGCTACTATATTTAAGTTGTTGTCAATGATTTAAGGAAATACCTATTATTCAATATATGAAAAATATTTAGAGAAAGAGAGAGAGAGAGAAACTAAAATGATTTTTTGATTACTTTATTGTATGATTTTTTTGCATTGTATCGGATGAGAGACAGAATATTCTCTTAGAAAACGACAGATAATTATTTATTTGTTATTATTATTAGTTTTTAATAGTCTAATAGCTATGTTTTACTTTGTTTTGTACAAATACAACAATTAGAGTCATGTTATGTTATTATTTTTATTATTGTATTAACAAATATCTTTGAAGGAACTTTACATGAGTTAGTTTTTCATTCATAATATATTATAAAATAATAATACATTTACTATCAATCAATTTGGTTTATACAGTTTTTTGTATACAATTTTTTATTTACTTTATATTAATCAAATTTAATTTAAAATGCTCTATCGTGAGAAAACGAATTATTATTTTTTTAATTAATCTATTTAATTTTGATAATTTATAATTATGTTAATTTAAATTATAAACAAAAATAATATTATTAATATATATATATATATATTATATACACATATATATATTAGTAAATTATATCAATCACTATTAATATTGTTAGACTTAATTTTAGTTTATTGATATTTTTGATATCACCTAATTATTGGAAAATTTATTACACTTTAGCACTTTATATTAAGATATAAAAAATTATCAAAAATTAAAAAATTGCTTAATTAAAATACTCGAAATTTTTGAATTGCCACAAATTAAATTAAAAATAAATTCAAATAAAACTATAAAATAGTAATTAATTTTGTTCAATGTGACAATATAATTGTGTCAGATTTTTTTTAATGAAAATATAAGGAAAATTAAAACTAATTAATTAAATTTCTATCATATCATATTATTTTAGAAAAATATAACACATATTTTTATTTAATTTAATTAAGTTATTAAAAAAAATTGTTTTATAGGTTTATTATAGTATGTCAGTAATTATAAAAATCAAAATTTTTTTACAATATAATAAAAATATTGATAAAACATAATTGGAGGGATAGGTTAATCAAATATTAATCAATAATCAAATCTATAATTTATATAAATATATATTTAATTTGTCTAAATTATAGTTAATTATTAATTATTTATTTAGTAAAATACCTTTATTTTTAGGAGAGCTGACAAACATATACTATTAATATCAAATATTAATATTATGTTTGTAGTAAATACTGTATAATAAATATTTACTTTACAGAGAAAATCACTTGAAGACATATAATTGGCAATTAATTTCATGTTTAACCTCCCGTTCCTCACATCTGTCATGGATTTTTTGTTTGCTATGATATCTATTCACCTATCGATACCTTAACCATAAGCCTATCAGATATCTCAGTACTTTAATAGTAGATAGAGATGAGTAGTACTCTGAATATTAAAAGATTTTTGTTATCTATGAAAAAGAGAAAAAAAATTATAAAAAATTGTGGATTCATTGAAATAATAATTTATCTAAACATATAAAAAATATATACACATACAGTATTTAAGTTACAAAAAATAAAAATTTTATTGATTTTCATCTTAAACTATAATTTTGTGATAATTTTTTGTGCCTTTAGTTGTGTTGAAAAAAATAAGATAACATTTTGCTAACATTAAACATAAATAGTTTAATTAAATAACAATTCATATATACGATAATAATAAATATTTTTTAATTTTATTTTTCTTAATATCAATGTTTATTTGCAAACATTCAACACTAATAGGAAAATTTAAACAAAAATGTATATATTTTTCAAAAAAAACTCAGAAAAATATTAAACTCTTAAAATATTACTGAAAATCATTTATATGAAAAAAAATATTATGAGACATATCATAAATTAAATTAACTAAAACAGTAAAAGAGAGACTCAAAAGTTATGTTTGCTTTGACACAAATATATAGATTGAAACCCAATTTAATATTTTAATGTCATTTATTTTGGTATTTTACGGTTTAAATAACGGGTAATGGCTTTGAATGTAAAATACATTTATCTAAAATAAAGTTGATATCAAAGTAAAAAACTGTTTCAAATCAAGTTTTTGCAATTTCAAAAAAATCTTAGACTTTTATTTATAATAATAATAATATTAATAATAATTATAATAAAGTTTTTTCTCATCACTAAATTTGAATTTTCTTAATACATATGTTTCATATATGTTTATTTACAGCACAGAAATAAAATATTAATAATAAAAATTAATTATATTTATATATAAAAAAGACAGAAATAAAATAATTTTTCATAAAAGAAGTATTTTTTCATTAATTATACAGTTATATAATTATATTTATATTACTTATATATTTATATTTATGTTAATGTCTTATATATATTATACATAAATTTATTTCAATGTATATAATTATAAATAATTTTGTTGATATTTTTTAAAAGAAAAATACAATGAAAGCGTTGTTTTTATTATTTTTAATTGAAAAGTAATGCAAACATTCAAATGTGAATCACATTTCATTTGGGGAAATGTTGTTGTTTTTTGTTTTAAATGTAATTTACAAGTATTTTTATATAATTTGTATTTTTGTCACTCAATTATCAATACATTACATAAATTATATATATATATTTATATTTATATGTTATCAATAGATTAGGATTTATTATATATATATAATTTATAATATATATTATATTTATGTATATAAACATAATTTTATAATCTTTAAAATTCCTATAATTATAATAATATTAATAATAATTAATACTCTCTAAATAGTTGTGTGTTTTTTGTTTGGTGGCCTAAAAATTATTGTCTAAACTCTAAGCCATAGCACCAACCATACCGGCGCCGAGCATCGAACCACTGGTCGGCAGCGATAGGCCGGACAGTCCACTCGGATGATGTGCATTACTCATATGCATCGATGGAGTTGCCATAAACGGTGATCCCGTCATCGATATGGGCATACCATTCATATTCATATTCATGTTCATATTCATACCGCCCATATTCATGCCGCCCATATTGCCGGCCGAGTGATGCATATAGTGGTTAACAGCCGACATGGCCGACATAGAGCTCATAGCCGACGATAGCTGTCCGTGTGTGGGACCGAAACCTCCAAACTTGTTGTGATCGTTGAACGGTTTGATGCAATCGGACATCGAAATCATACCCTTCTTCTTCTTGCCCTTTGATGACAGCTTTCGGTTTCGGGTTTGGATTCCCTCCTTCTTCATGGTTAGCGGTCGGTTCACCTATCAATGCAAACAAACAATTGGATCAATTAGTAATTGATTTTTCTAATTTTTTTTACAAATTTGGCATAAATTATAATAATGGACTTATTAAAGCAATTTATAAATGTGTTTTTATAATTGTTTTTTATTATTATTGTTGACATTTAAATTATGTGCTAATACTGTACTAAATTTATATATAAATATAACGTATATATAAACTGTATATACATTTAATTACTATTAGATAATGTTAATTAATATATTTATATCTATAAAGAGATTTATAGACAATAAGTAATACTATTATGACAAGTAAGACTAGCTATTGATTTATAATAATAAATATCATATTATTTATAGTATAATAAAGTGAGAATTGTTTTTGTTTATATACAGAGTAGTAGTAAACTATTATGTAGTAATTGATGCGAAAAATTATTTTTATTATTTCTTTTCTGTTTTAAAGACACAACAAACACATAACAACAAACACACACACAAACAGATAAATATAAACAATATATTACAGAAACACATACTGTATATATGGGAAAAATAGCTAATAAAAAATAAGCAAATAAATCAAATTAACTGTAAGTGCCGTCAAAACAGGCCATACAATTTGAGGGACAGGTGAATGAGTGAAAAATGATTGCATTGCACATCCCTAAGCTCTCGGCTCTCATAAAGTGCATTGAATGTCTTGCTTTGTGTATTAAACTAACTCTCTGAAGGAAACGTTTTAATGGCAAAAGATATATACATTAATATATTGTTTATAACAAAAATATATGTTGATTATTATATACTGTATATATGTTGAGGTGATATGACTTATATCGCTAATAATTAATTATCTAATTAATAATTACAGGCCTCCAGTTCCCATTCAATCTATAAAAAGTGACTGAATGTACACATTAGGAGATTGCATAGGAAAAGTATACACTAAAAGAAGTTGTTTTTTAGTCATTAACTTCAAACTCAAAGCAACTACACTACAGAAAAAAATTGATACAAATCTGCATAAATACGGCCGAACACTGGTTTTATCATATAATATATTACCGACAGTATTGGGAATACAGTATATAATACTATATATATATATATATATTGTATAAATTTAGTTGTATATACATAATATTTTTTTTGTTATAGGTGCCCTCTCCCCAAAATATAAAAGCATTACTACTTATTAATAATAAAATTACTGCTGCTTTATGTATATATTTTACTGGCATATTATATTTTACAATATACACACAGAATATTTGTTAGTATATATATAATAAGCACCAAAAAAAAATAAATTTTTGATTGCATGCAAAAAGTAATAAACTTAATAGAGATGTAAACTAAGTGCTCTCTCTCTCTCTCTCTCTCTCTCTCTCTCTCTTTCTAATTCATATAAATATATATAATTATATATACATACGTATCTATATTGAGATTTAAATACTGTTATATAAAAGATTGCCATTTGATTTAATAAAGAACACATGTTTTTTCAAGTGAAGTACTTAAAAAGTTTTAAATACATATATAATATACAGTATTGTATATTAAAATACAACAGTGACTGTAAATTTTTAAGTAGTGAAACCCGAAAAAAATAAAATTAATAACTAAATGGAAATTCTACAGTAATTTCAATAAAGTTAGTTTTTTTGTTGGTTTATAACAAACATTGTTATACATAAATATCACATAATAAAAAAGCTAAAACCATAAGCTCAGCATATTTCTAAAAATTAAACAATTTTTTTTTATATTATTATTAACCAGAAAATTATGCTCAAGTAATTGATTGCTTATTCAATAGCTATGTGACACTAATTTAATAAAAGTTAAACACAACACATACAAACAGTAACTAATAACAGCATAAATAACAATAACAAAAGGGGTTTATTATAAAATATTAAAGTCTTATTTAATTAGATGAAAAAACAAAGAAAAATTTTTCACTAAAATATCATTAAAACAAAATAGTAATGCATTTCATTTTGTTGGGTTTTTGAGCTCTTAATGTTACAATACTACTACTAATACTACTACTACTTAAACAACTATCTCTCGCTATCTTTAAATAGCTATTAGGCTTTTTTAAATGCCTCTCAAAAAAAATAAAGTTTTAGTTTAACTATTAATATGAATGTGTATTACTGAACGAAAAAATAACAACAAAATATATTTTATTTCTCTCTGAAAACAGCAAATATTTGTAAGCATTACTAAACAAACTCTCAGAGTATTTGTTAGTTAGTGTACTGTATTGTACTGTATATTAAACAAAAATTTCATTTTAAAAGCAAACTTTAAGTTTAGACTTTTAGAGTGTATATGGATTTAAAAGTTTAGTTTAGTGGCACTTAAAAAGAAAAACGATAGAAAATAATTGATGCAAATATTATTATTATTATCAGTGTCTTTGAGCTGACAATATCATAGAGTTATTGAATAGCATTGGATTTATCGGTTTATTTTTTAGCATCATTGAGTCTATATATTTGCTATATATTACTAAAACATTATAGATTAACAAATATTTAATGTAATTGTGAAATGCATTTCACTTTTTACAGTTCACCAGTTATCTGATGGATTGTTCAATAGGTTATGATTTAGGGATTTAGTGAATTGGGAGACGAGAGAGAGAGAGAGAGAGAGAGAGAGAGAGAGACTTATTTTTAGAGGCAAAACAAACCACATATTAGTTTTGATTGTTTTGTTTCTAATGTCTTATGGGGTTAACAGTTGAAAGGGAAACATATTTTTAGGTATTAACCCATTCCTATGCTTCCAAACTTGCAAACAATAGCAAACATTTGGTTTGTGCTGTCAAATGAGTTAACAGTGACAGACATTGAAGGAATGGCATTAAAGCATACAATCCCTTTTCTACAGTCATATCAATAAAAGTTAGGTTATGGCTTATACTGTATATATTCAATATATTATATACAATATAACAATAATAACTATAAGTAGACATTCATTTGTCTGTTGAAATTATTTTTGCTTAAGATAATCGTCTCCCAATAGTTTCTATGGGTTATTGGTGTATATGTATGTTGTATTTGCATTTGATATGACTATTGCCGTCACAGACTGACTGTTCACCAGTCACTGGACGAGCATTTAAGAGCAAAATATGCAGACAATTGACAACCGAAAGTATTTTTTTTGTTGGAAAGTTGTTTCGCTAAGAAAATTATTGAAATATCATATTTAACATGTCGTTGATTAGCACTCAAGTAGTGAACTAACCTATAAAATGCCAGGTAATCATGCAATATAAAGTTTGTAAGCTTATGCAAAATACATCATCAACACATAGGTATACCGGTGCTCACACTCTGGTATACCTGTTCCCTATGAGTGAGTGAGAGAGAGAGAAAGAGAGAGAGAGAGAGAGAGAGAGCGAGAGCTGACACGTTAAACATTAACACATGATTCTTATCTATGATTTTCTTTCTCTTAAACCTCTCCTAAATCGAGTCAATATTCTGGACATTAGTACCTAAAAGTCTACTTAAATTGTTAAGATACTGAACAACTAAAGAAAGAGAGAAATTGGGAACCAGTAGTTAACAGATCTGTTTGATGTTTTCAAGACTAACAACAAGAGATTAAGTGGGAAAAAAAGTTTTGCCAAAATATATTTCAATATTCAAATGTTGTGTTTTTTCTCTCTCACTCTTAGCTTTATAAGGATAAAAAAGATCGACAATATTTCAACTTTTAAAAAGTTTTTTATGCCCACAGTATAGATAGGTTGGCCTCACTTTCTGGGGGCGAGTGAGTAGTCGTGCTGTGATTGTTTCGGATAAGTAGTTGAATAATCAAATGCAATAATCAATGCCATATTACTGTCAGATAATGTCAGACCATTGCTAGTGGAGGCCTCAACTGACACTATGTCTATCAGGTTTATCATTGTCACCACAAACAGAGAGAGAGAGAGAGAGAGAGAGAGAGAGAGAGAGAGAGAGAGAGAGAGAGAGAGAGAGAGAGAGAGAGAGAGACCACACTTTATACATAAAATTTAATATTACTTAAATAAATATATGTATTTCAAAAATATTAGTTAATTTATCATTTTATATTTGGTCTAATTTTACATAGGATATGATGGATCTCTATTGTTAGCCTATTTGTTGCTGTAAAGCTTGTATTATAATCGTTTGAATGTATTATAATATTATTTAAAGTTATTTTTTAAAATATACAGTACTGTATCATATAAAGTACAATAAAAAATTATTTATTGCTTTATAAAACCCCAATTTAAAAGTTTTATGTCTCTCATATAATAATCAATGATTTTAATAATGTAATATATCATATTAAAAAAACTGAGCAAATAATTGTTAACAATATTATTTAATCGAGTAATACTTAGATGGCAACAAATTTTTATATACAATTAATGTATTTTTAAGAAAATAAAATAATAATTATTATATTTATTCAAAAACATGATTTCCTATATAGTTAGATATATAGTATTACTAATACATAGGTTTTATCTTATTATTATTATTATAATTATAATATTTAATATTATATAGTGAAGTCAATAACATTATTTCTAATTCATTACATATTTATGTATATTAAAGTATATTATTGTTTTCATTATTACTCTCTTTTATTATATTTAATGTACAAACCAATGGCCCATCCATTCACTCCACCCTAATATCAATGTTAAAGTACCCAACTATGAGATGTGCACTTAGTTTTTGATAATATGATAGTTTGACGTCAATATTATTACCAATCATTGAATACACACACATATAATATTATATAATATAATAACTTTATCAGTGTTTTTCTATCACTTTGTTATTAACAATAGGGCTGATAATCCAATTTGTTTGATTAGTATCAGAGAATTAGTGAATGAATGAGAGAGTAAAAAATGAGTGAACGAGTGAGTGAGTGAGTGAGTGAGAGAGAGAGAGAGAGAGAGAGAGAGAGAGAGAGAGAGAGAGAGAGAGAAA